AGCCAATGATACAATTTTTTTAAAAAACGTTTATATGTAGGGTAAGTGGCCAAACTAAAAGGTTGAACAGCTTTTCTAGTTAGAAGGATAAAAGCAGTAGAAACAGAACAGGCACTGAGTGGTAACCAGTATCTTACCTCTAACTGCAAGGCATCTATTTTCTCTTCCTGGCAAGTGTCACCCTCACATTCATACTGTACTATTTTTCCATCTGTTTTACTTGCAACCAGTCGATGGACATAATTATCTAAAGAAAAGAACAAGTTGATCAAAAGCTCTTGTTTCTTCAGAACAAAAAAGGTCACCATGTGTTTTTTATTCGGTTTGAGTCTCGCGATGTGGCTCAGGCTGGCCTTGAACTCACTTCATAAACCAGTATGGCCTTGGACTCACAGCAATCCTCCTGCCTCAGTTTCCTGAGTGCTGAGATTACAGTCGTGCTCCCCCACACCAGCATGCCATATGGTTTTTATTTCTGGTTTATTTTTGAGACAGGGTCTTACTATATAGCTCACACTGGCCCTGAAGTCACTATATAGCTCAGGCTGCCCTCAGTCTTGTGGGATCTCGCTACTTCAGCCTCCAGAGTGCTATGACACAGGCATGCTTCAGAATATGCCAAGTGCTTTTAATGCTAACAGAAATTCTGTTTTTAATATATTTAAATTTCTTTGAAAGTAGGTCAAATCATTTGAATTTTAAAGAGAGAGACAGTTAGAGGCCAAGAGTGGAAGTATAAGCTCTATAATATGCAATTCTGGCCGTTTGAGGGAAATGGTACCTTCAGGGGCACCATTAGAATTAAAGTTTGCAACAGCTGTTAGGAAGATGACATTTCACACTGTGAGGGAAAGTGGAGAGGTTCCAGAGGAAAAGTTTCCCTACAGAAGGAATCCAAATTAGAACTCTAACAGCGCTCACCTCCAGCATAGTCCCATACTCGGTGGTTGGTGAGCTGCATCGCATAGGTATGCTGTGTTTCCTCAAAGTGCTTATACGCATGTCGACTCACATACCGTCCACATCCTATGTGGCCACATATGAGACAAATCCAAAGGTTCTGCCAAGGAGGAGATAAGATCTTAATTGGCTAAACAAAAGTACATGAACTGGCCCACAAAGCACGGAGAGGAGATGACAAAGAATGAGACTTAAGGGGCCAGGGACACGGCTCAGTAGAAGTGCTTGCCTGGCAAG